GTTACATTCGTAGTTTTGCAAACACTCGTAGCATTCTGCGTTTGTTATAATCTCGTGTATAATTTCATTTAAATGAATCGTAATCAATTCACGGAATACAATATTAAAATATGTGTCTAAAAATTGTAAATTTTTCATTTGCCGTCGTACATTTTCCTCGATTTCGCGATATTTATCAACGAGCGTCCGTTTTACGAAATCTTCGTTTACACCTTCCTTCGTGAGATTAAGTTCTATTTCGCCTACTAAAATATATTTGCAATTACTCACAAGAACGGCAACCGCTTGTAAATGTTCGTATCTAGCATCGATACATTTTGTGACAGTTTGCAGACCATCGAAAGATGTCTTCTGCATTATAATATTCTCCGTATACAGCTTATGCTTCTTCAGCGGCGGTTGCTTCAGATGCATAGACTCCTCCGATGTCTTCTTCGCAGGTCCGCTCTCGTCCAGCATTTTCCCTGACTCACCATTACAGCTCGTGCATCGTACGCTGAGGTAAAGTTGATGCTGATATTGTTGATGATGATAGGGGTTGGTGTATTCTTATTTTCCCCACACAAATAAGAATTTGCAGAGGGTATAATATCTTTAAACTTCTCCCACGTATTCAAATCAAGGAGAATTCCTGAAGACGTGTTCCTCATGATCCTGATCGTTGGCTCAAATGGACCCATGTCGTACGTGGTGCGCAATCCAACCTGCATCCTCTTAGTGTCCGAATTGTTGAGCGCGTACGTCGTACATAGAAGCATGTTACGGTCGTTTCCCACTTCTGTAGAGAGACTGCTCGTCTTTTTCGACGTCTTCTTGAGAGCGGTGTCCACGTTAGCGCCGAACATTTTTCTTCCAAGGACTTGTTAATAACTTGTAAAGAACTTGTAATAACGAGAACTAGCTATGCTGCAAGTAGGAGCAACGAAGCTTGAATGCTTCGCCAGTCTCAACACCGTATGTCTTTCCCCGTAGAGAATAGAGAAAGTAGTGGGGATGGTGATGCGCAGACGTAAAAGGTCTACAATTACTTATCTTTTTCAAAATGATAAGATATAGTTTTTATATTTACTTAGAATGGAGAGATAGACTACTGTATCAATACCATAATTTTAGACTGGACACGCTCAGAGATAAAGAAATCAGGGGAAATTTAAAAGTAGAATATTACAGTTAAATTGACATATAGTATCAACATAGCGAGAGACGGATCATCACAAGCTGCAATGGCGAAGCAATCATCAAAATTTAACAAAAAGAAGAAAAGTTCAGAGAAGCAGCTCATCGGTAACGAAAAGCATCGGTTGGTGGAGGAGTTGCACGCTCCAGTGAGAAGATATTTTCTCCGTAGACACGTCATAGTGCGCGGATACGATGATCTTTGGCAAGCTGACTTGGTAGAGATGCGTCCTTACTCGCGATTCAATAGAGGCTACCACTATATACTCACTATTATCGATGTGTTGAGCAAATATGCGTGGGCTGTACCGATGAAGAGCAAGAGCGGTAAAGAAGCAGTGGCAGTGTTCGCCAGGATATTTCAAGAATCTGGAAGATGTCCGAAAAATTTGCAAACGGACCAGGGAAAAGAATTTTATAATGCGGATCTGCAGAAATTCCTTAAAAAACACGGTATCAATCATTATTCTACGTACTCGGTAATGAAGGCATCTGTTGTGGAACGATTCAACCGCACGTTAAAGAACGACATGTGGAAAATGTTTACGTTGAATGGAACATACAAATGGATCGACTCGTTACCACACCTTATCATGGAGTACAACACACGGAAACATCGAACTATCGGCATGCGTCCTATCGATGTGACACCCGAAATCGCTGATAAGCTCCTACACACAGTCTACAACAACGTAAAGATCGCTGCGCCTGCGAGATTCAAAGTGGGTGATCTGGTACGCGTGAGCAAATTCAAAACCATCTTTGAAAAAGGCTATACACCGAATTGGACAACCGAAGTGTTTAAAATCGTCAAAGTGCAGATAACTAATCCAGCGACCTATCTGCTCGAGGATTCTCGCGGAAAGTCTATTGCCGGAGGATTTTACGAATACGAACTGCATCGCGCTGCTAATCCTGACGTTTATCTCGTGGAAAAGGTGTTGCAAAAAAGCGGCGACAAGGTTTTAGTGAAATGGTTGGGGTTTGATAATTCGCACAACTCTTGGATACACAAAGAAAATGTATTGTAACCAATTCTTTGTTATAAACACTTTTATATTACAATATCCTATTATAAACAGCTTGTAATAAACCATCTTTTATTATAGTTAACAATATTTCTTACAAACAAATATATGTACAATGATCGCTTTTCATTTTACAATATACATATATGCACAATGATCGCTTTTTAGTTTACAATTGTATCCTGTAATGTCCCCATGGTAAAGTGTCTGTTGAATTCGGTACGATATACCGTTTGTCATCATACGGACTCAGAGCAGTTTTCAGTTCGGAGACGGTGTAGACTTTGTGCATTTTGGATCGTATGCATGACTGACGACGTTACTTTTTGACCTCATCTCTCAGACACTGCATATAATCATCAAACGTTATAGTTCGCGCTACGACATTGGTCTTCACACCTTTCGCCTTCTTCGTGTCATTTTTGCTGTCTACCTTTAGCGCGTACATCTTTGCTCTGAGCCCGACGAATTCCGTCATAATCGCTCCGTTATTTTCATCTTTCATCAGACCTGGTACCTTTTTGTTGACAAGTGGTATACCGTACGCATTATCAGCGGGATAATCACTCGTATCAAACTTAGAAATATCACGTTTCATGTGCTCGAAAATATCATCGCATTGGATATGGTAGATTAAACTATCAGTATCGGTGTACATTACTTTACATCTGTTCTGATACAGAGGAGACATGTACTCGTGATGAAATTCGTACAAGCAGATCTTGGATATGTCAAGGATACACATACCCACATAGATCGGCTTGTTGAATTTCACCTCAAGTTTACGTAGCTCAACGGCGATTAAATTTTCCGAAAAGACACTTCTGCTATGAAAATTTGGTCTCGCAATCTTTGCTTCAGCACCGTATCGTCCATCCCATTTTGTCAATAGTTTTACGTCTACGTGATTGCGAACGTTTTCCATAGTTTTACCGAACACCGTGTTGTTCATCAATTTGTACAAATTTTTCTCGAAATCGTTTGTCGCGCGTGTTCTAAACTGCGTATTAAGTTCGATATAATCGCGGAGCCATGAAGATTGAGCAAATTTGAGTATATTTGAGTGTATCTTTCCAATACGAAGACCGTGACGCGTGCACTGCTGCAGGTTGCGATAATGAATCACATAACGCTGCTTATCGCATAAGGTTACGAGAAGCTTGTCCTGCTTTTTGTTTGGCGGTTTGCCCCGCGTCGGACAGAACGGTAGGTTAGTGTGTGCGTCGTGCAGATGTTGCGGATACTCTAAGTCAACCTCCAGAATGTAACCTATAGGTGAATCTAGTGCGATTGATGATACGTCGAAATTCGATACATCATCGACCCATCGAAATTCGGCGTATGGCAACTGTTGACACATTGCCCAACCATACAAATTATTTACATCGAAGTACATCGAGTATGATGATGGTTGCAATGGATCGTAAGACTGCATGTACTTGTTATTGGCTTTTGCATATCTACCGGAACATTAACTGAGGCCACCGCGAATATCGCGCTCGATGAACATGACCATATCGATATCAGTGAGCAGTTCGAAATTAACGCCCGTATGCTTCAACATAGCATCCCACGTAAAATCAGGCAAAGTGTAATAATACGCGGGATCTAACTCATAACTTTTGATACAACTATTGCGGAAATTTTCAAAAATATCGGCCAGCAACAAGACATCAATCTTCAGATACAAGTCGCTATATTCACCTAAAGTTTGAATGGCGAACCGTTGCCAGATGTTCGTGGCGTGCGCGTAATCGCTCTCAGATACCGTGTCACCCGTCAACGAATTGTAAAATGACTCGTGCGGCGGTAAACACCGATCCTGCAGCTTGTCCGCGCAATCAAGGTATTCGTACGGAAAGACCCCCTTTCGCGTCAATAAATTAAAATCCTTGTCGGACAAATTTGAAAATTCGGACCGAACAATTTTTAATTTGTCGTTGTCGAGAAAAGACGCCAATTTACCGAGACTACTACTGAGAAATTTGTACGAATCGATGAACCGCAATTGTATACAATTTTTCCATTTATTCTTACTATCCATCATGTTTCCTACAGTCTTTGTAAATGAAATATATTTCTCTTTGGTTATCGGTAGTACAGTGATTGAACCTTCGAACGCGGTTGCTATATCTTTGATGATAAAGTGTGAATCATAACCGGATAAGTTGTGAAAGACCACGGGAATGCAATAACTGTCTTGATAATTTAGATTGCAATTGGAATGCGCGGGACCTCTGTACCGTCCAGTCAGGTGGCAATGATCGGGCACGCGTGTATCATCCTTTGCGAATGATTTCTCGCACACATGGCACAGCATAGCGTTTTGAAATGTCTCCCACTATTCTTTCGACAAAGTTTCCATGAGGACATTTGCGGACAAAATATCCTTTACACGATGTGCCAGTTCTTCAAGTTCTTTGACAAACCATGAGATGCAATCCCGATCGCGACGACATCGATACGCGGATAATGACTCGTCGTAGGAACATCGAACGTAATATGCTATACTAAATACGCTATGATGTTGATACGCATACGAACTCGTTTGTTCTTCCCTCGGTGTCTTCTCCAGGATGCATTCCAAGTCGGCGTAAATTATAAACGGGATCCGCTCCTTCCTGCAGTAGTTGGTGAAGCTGAGCCATTTGTTGTCATCGTTTGGCAAGATGATGGCACAGTTATTCATTTTTTGACAGTCGACGGTATGGTTCTCCAGCTTCTCGCTCGAGCTGAAGTAATGTAGACATCTGGAAAAACATTATTTGTTATTAGTATATGTCACATTATACATTGCGTTCTTTGTGTATACTTACCGGTCGCAAATATGTTTTTTGTGTTCCTTTTTGCTCAGTTGTGAGCTGACGAGTCGGGACAAATTCTTGATCCACGCGAAGTGCCCAGTGTTATCATCATCTCGCGGATCTGGGATATGCAGCAGGTTGACATGCTTCTCCATTTTCTGTTCCGTAAGACGTATAGGTGCGACCACGTTTCCTTCTTTCTTTGTCGCGTTGTCATATCTCTTCTCCACACTATAAATGTTGACCGAGATATCGTTCAACCGTTCAAACTTTTTAATTTGATTTATGCGCATTGGAAATTCAATGTCCTGCATATTCAAAACCGATGTATAGTGTGGGTACGAAGATTGACGATCTGCGTGTTTGTCGGCTGGACATAACGCTGCAACCACTGCCCATGCGAAACATGCATTGTCCATAGATTGCACGTTGATTATAGCCCGCTTCATTTTTATTTCGCGCGGTAACTCGATATGACATCTCGAATGTAATGGATTGTACTTGTTAACATTAACGGTCAGATTGAGTATGCGCGAGAGTGTCCACCCGCTATCTCGTTCCTGAAATTCTTCCATGGACGCTAAGGTGGGTTCGATAACACGCATCGCGAACCAATTGTCTAGATCGGATGTGAAAAAAAGTTCAACGTTCCTCGTATTAATGCTCTTGTTCGCGCGTTTATTACCTGCCACAAATTCACCGTTGAACACAGTATTCACTTTTATGCTACCATGTCTCTTCATAACGCTTCGCACATGCTCGAGCACGATATTCTTCACATCTTGGAGGAATCGAAGAGGGTCGATATAGTCTGTATTTACAATCGCCCCGGTTGATATGCGACTATTGAACGCTGTATCGATTTCTCGCCAAACAAGTGTCGAATGTCCGGCACCTGCGTATACAAAACGTCTGCGCAAAGTATTTTTTAAACCCTCGAGTTGCGCTATACGAGCAACCATCGAGTGCGCTGAACCAACCGATAGTCGTGGTTGTTTGGCTCGGCTATGCTGTTCCAACGACTCGAGACACTCGTCGCACTTTTGTTCCCATGCGAGGTATTCGTCTAGCGAGCCTAATTGAGCGGCCTGGTTCTGCAGTTCACGTTCTACGGTTGATAATGATGATAATGATGATTCTGCCATTTTTCTAGCAAAACGTTGTAAACACACTGTAACTGCGCGCTTTGCTCGTCTTCGACTAAATTATAGAATATTCTGCTTTGAACATTTTATAGCCCTTAACTCTTTCATAAATACATGCCATTATCAAAATTCGGGAAACTTCCTCGACGAACTATTAAACACATTCCTGAGTCTTAAACTCATATCAACTCGTTGTGGACTTTGCCTAAGTGTATGCCTTTCTTTATCTGATACAATAATAGACTTATAGACCTATGATTGGTATCAGCAGTCTGGCGTCCACTCTGTTTGTCTTCGACTAAATTATAGAATGTTCTGATTTGAACTTTTTTATAGCTCTTCTGTCTTCCACATGCGCACACACACGCACACACACATATCGTTATTACATTCTTCCTGCTTCTTTTTATCTTGTATAGTGTATTGGATGAAGTTTTTGTACCGTATATAAGAATTCTGTTTTAAATATGTCATATTAGTGCATACATATTGGACACAGATTACATGGTGTTATTTGGTAGACGGGGTTTCTACAGTTTGAACAAAATACACCATCAATCACATCGTGTCTTTCGGTGATGTGTTTGCGCACTGCAAATATTTCTGTAACTGTATCGCGAACGCCATCAACAAAACATGATGTGCAGAACCGTAAATTGTCTCCAGAATTATATGAAAAATAAATGCAACACACTTTTGTTTGGCCACTCAAAGTATTAATTTCTGAAACTTCCAATTTCTTCACTTTTTCATTCACTAATTGATTACTATTGTCACTATCATAATTACTATCATCCGTGAGTATATGATTTATATCTTCTTCGTCTTCTATTTCTTCGTTTTCTATTTCTTCGTCTTCTACTTTTTTGTCTTCCATTTCTTCGTTTTCTATTTCTTCGTCTTCTACTTCTTCATGCTCTATGTTTTCACGATCCATACTGAAAGAGCTCTGACTGGTAAATACACACAAAATTAAATCTATATGCTTCACTTTTGCCACTCTTCTCGTTATTATAACTCCCGGAAAAACCTAGCCAAAATAGTCATATCTTTACATGATGCAGCACTAAATGCTTCACAGGCATCCTATGATAAGATATGCATACCTTTCTTTATCTGATACCACAATAGTACTTGTAGACCTACGATTTGGTATCAGCAGTCTGGGAGGTCGACGGCTGACAAAAATATTTTGGTCAAAATGTGATATTGTAATACACAGCACCATTATATTGCAGCGTTTACAAATTGTAATAAAAGTATAAATAAATTACTTTGTTATATATTATGATACATCTTTTTTACTTTAGACCAGATCTTTCTTCCAACTTCCCCTTATCCCTTTCTTAGGATTTTTTATGTTAATTATGTTAATTATATTGATAAAAATACCTATAGATGTTTGATAGACGTTCGATAGACGTTCGTGAGACGTTCGTGAGACGTTCAATAGACATTCGAGAGACGTTGGAGAGATGTTCGATATGTAACTATTTCGGTCAAAACATACTAGTTATTTTATATAAACACTGTATATAATTTCAGTTCGCTGTATATTATTTCAGTTTGATAATTACGAGGGGACATTTAAAACACATTATATGACATTTTTTCTCGTGACGTATGCATGACATCACGGTCACCATCTTGCGTGACGTCCCACCACATTTTTTTTCTCGTGACGTATGCGTGACGTCCCACCATGAGTTTCCCTTCCCCGCGCGACGTCATACCCGCGCCCTGAGTTCCCCGCTTCCCCCGCCCCCCCTCAGCACTCCTGGGTTAGAACCGGCCTAGCTATTCTACTTTGGATATTATACGCGTCGCGTGTTGCATCGCACATCGCGCTGACTACGAGAGCCATTGGTTGCGTTCCGATCATATTCACTACGCAATGAATATCGGAACTCAGGCTACTATAGCGTAGCTGCGTGCGTTATTGCACCTGCGCTCTTTAATCTGACGTGGGCGTGGACAACCAGGATTCAGGATTGGCCGCTTGACAGCTAAGCGCGTGCAAGAGCGGAGAGATTTGTTCATTTACAACCGTCGCAAAAGATAGACGTCTTGCAAGTTTCCTTCGCGTTAACTGTGATTTGCCTAGTCAGCCTACTATACATATAGTTAAATAAGTATTTATCTAATAATAGGAGTTTACTGTGTGATCTCCGGACATGAAGATTATCCCGACAACCAAACTGTTTCCAATAATTAATCTCCTCCCTTATGAAAAAAAATCCTCAATTTTGGGTATTAACACTCAAAAAACGCTTTGGGTATTAAATACCGATAAAAAAAGCTCAACTTTGAGTGTTATATACCGAATAAACGCTCAATTTGTGTTATTCCGGGTGTTTCAAATAACTGGAGTCACCCGATTTTTTCGTAAACACGACATTTTAAAGGAAAATGTTTCAAACAAAGTTGTAGGCTTCAAAATGTCTATTTATTGATGCTATAAATTTAACTTTGGGATGATGATCTTGAAAACCCTAGTCAAGATCAACATAAAAATCGTAAACGGAAACTCCAATTTTTTATTACACCCGTCTTTTTCTACCAATTAATTTGAACAACTTTTGTCTGAAACATTTTCTTATTTGCCTAATATTTTTGACATATTTAAGGATAACTAGGTAACTTTTTCAACATTTAACTTACGATATCTCGTTAACTATTCGTCGAAAGAAAAAATAGTATTAGACTTTCTTACTTTATTTACTATCAGGAATATATTACTATAATAGTGCCCTAACTTTTGTTAACTTATCGACCATTGGAAATTTCAAAATTAATAAAAATTATAATAAATAAAAGTATAAGTTAAAAAAAGGGTACTATTATAGTAATATATTCTCGATAGTAAATAAAGTAAAAAGTCTAATACTATTTTTTCTTTCGACGAATAGTTAGCAAGATATCGTAAGTAAAATGTTGAAAAAGTTACCTAGTTATCCTTAAATATGTCAAAAATATTAGGCAAATAAGAAAATATTTCAGACAAAAGTTGTTCACAACTTATTGGTGAAAAAGAAGGTGTAATAAAAAAATTGGAGTCTTCCGTCTTACGTTTTTATGTCTGAAAACCTACTTGAATGGGATTATATCAGATCACTAACAACGTTAAATTTAATAAGCAACAACTCCAAAATCAAGAACTATATCTCGAAGCCTACAAAAAAAAATATATTCTAGTTTAGAAACAAATCATTATACATAACATTTAAACAATGCCTAAGATAGTTTACGAAAAAATCGGGTGACCTCAAACAGACTACATATATAATAGAAAAACACAAGGAATCACCACACAAATCATCGACGAGAAAGAATATAATATATAAAAAGAGAATAATATATACCCAAGTTGAGCCTTTTTTTATCGGTATTATAACCCACAAAGCCGTTTTTTGAGTGTTAATACCAAATTGAGAGATAAATATATTTTCATAAGGGAGGAGTTAATTTATTGAAAAGTTTGGTTGTCGGGATAATTTCATGTCCGGAGATCACACAGTAACTCTATTATTAGATAAGTATTTATTTAAACTATATGTATAGTAGGCTGAGTCAGGCAAATACAGTTAAGCGAAGGAACTTGCAAGAACGTCTATCTTTTGCGACGGTTGTAAATGCAACTAAATTCACACTAAAGCATAAATAGCAGCGCTTAGCTGTCAAGCGGCATCCTGAATCCTTGGATATATAAGAAAGTAAGATATAAAGAAGAGACAGAAGAATAGCACAATAAACGCACCAGCAGAATACGCTAATAAGTAAAGAAAATGAAAAGAATAATAACGATATTCATTGCGTAGTGAATTGACGGACGTACGCAACAATGGTCTTCTAGTAGCCGCGAGGTGCGATGCAACACGCCGACGCGTTATAATATCCAAGTAGAATAGTAGGCGCGGTTCTAACAGGAGTGCTGAGGGGGGTGGGGGGAAGCGGGGAATCAGGGCGGGGTGGTATGAGTCGCGCGGGAAGGACACCATAATCGTGCGAGACGAATAAAGCATAAAACGATCAAAGAAAGAAACATGTGGTGGGAGTACGCAGATGGTGAGTGATGTCATGCATAGTAACGAAAAAATGTCATATATGTGTTTTAAATGTCCAAATAGATAGATCATACACTGAATAATTAACAGAACTGAAATTAATATAACAGTGGTTTTATATAAAATAACTAGTATGTTTTGACCGAAATAGTTTTACATTGAACATTCTTTCCAAGTTCTCGAATGTTATTGAACGTTCACGACGTCTCAGAAGTCCTATGAACGTTATCAAACCAATTATAGGTAATTTTTATCAATATATTAATAATTAACATAAAACATCCTAAGAAGGGGATAACGGGGAAG